TAAATGTTTAAGGGAAAGAGACCAGCATGGAAATCGGTGAATATATTTTCCACCTGGCGAGAGTCGAGAAAGGATCCAAATTAATAAATTCTTAGCCGTTCCTTCCGCAACCGAACCTACGATGTTGAGTAACTTCTATGCAAAAATCATGGGAAGGGCCAAAAAAGCAACACTTCACAGTTCACATTCACATGTTGAATCTCAGGATAAGTGTCCCTTCGTACATGTGGCATTTGTGTGTTCCCGCAGCACACAATAAGAGAGAGTCACTGATATAAATCTTCACATCACTCACACAGCATCAGTGTCGCATTACCACCATACCCATCAATGGCTTTCTCTTCTACGCTTGACAAATTCATCCTCTCTTCCTTTAAACCCCAAAACTCCATTTTCCCACTTGCAATCCAACCTTCCTCCTTCCTCCCATGCCCTTCTTCGTTCAAGACTCGGAAGCTTCCCTTCAGAATCCGCTACGGTTCAATCATCAGAGCCACGTCATCATCCTCATCGCCTTCCACAACCATTGCTGAACCCGAAGGCATTAAGGTTCTCTCTCTCCACCCATTGTTCAAGTATGTGCCGTCACATAGTTCAAGTATCTTACTTTTTTTCTATTTTGTAAGATTAAATCGATTCCAACCAAGCCCATTGAAGGACAGAAGACTGGTACTAGTGGGCTTCGAAAGAAGGTAACTGACATTGTTTGAAGTGGATCAAAGTGATCAATTTGGCCCTTCTTTTATTTTTTTTAGTTCCCGGTTTGCTTATTATGCCCAATCAGCATGCATGCAGCATATAGATTGTGTTTGTGTTGATATGGAGAGAGGTTAAGTTATGATTGATGGTATTTTTACACTTGAAAATGAAATATAATAAGATTATAATGTTGGGTGTGTGCCCTTTTTCTTCAAAAACTATATAATTAGGATGCTGTTTCTCTTTACACAGTTTATATATAATTAGTAATTCTTGCTTAGCTCTTTAGTAAACTGCTATACATTTTTGATAGCCTTTTGTCTCTGTACTTTCATCGTTGTTTTAAAGTTTGTTATTGACTGTAACATATTGGAAAGCTATCGGTGAAGGAAAACAGTTTTGAGGAAGTATTTCCAGGTGAAGAAATGCAAGTGTGAGAGTAGTATTTTCCTTATAATTAATTACATGCATACTTGTTTTGTAGGTGAAAGTGTTTAAGCAAGAAAACTACCTTGCAAATTGGATACAGGTTTGTAGAACTCTATGCAGTGGATGATTACATGATGCATGCATTTTGCTTTGCGTGTAAGTAAGAATTCTGTGCATCTGTAGGCCCTGTTTAATTCATTGCCTCCGGAGGATTACAAGAATGGTCTGTTGGTGTTGGGAGGCGATGGTCGATACTTTAATCGGGAAGCTGCACAGGTCAACCTTTTTTCGATGTGTCACTATAGCAATAACATTTAAATCTTGTATTTAGAGAATTATTTTTTCCCTTGATTTTTGCTGCTTTTTTTGTGTATTGCAGATAATTATCAAAATTGCTGCTGGGAATAGTGTTGGAAAAATTCTGGTTGGAAAGTAAGTATCTCAATCAGTTGTTTTTTACAATTGATTTTCTTGTAACAAATGGATGATAATATGTAAATCAAGAGCTACTAGTGAATGCCATCATTAGGCTAAAACATCTTTGGTGGGCTAGTGCATGAGCATGAGCTATTCAATGCACAATCACTTCTGTGGAGCTATTATTTAATAGAAATTGAGCCTACTTGTTCTTTCTAATGTAGGGAAGGTATATTGTCGACACCAGCTGTTTCTGCAGTAATAAGGAAGAGAAAGGCAAGCCATTTAAACTTTTTCTTGTGAAATATTTTGGCTTATATGGATAGTATAACCTTTTCAGCTCATTTGTTCTTTTATTCTCATTTTCTTAAATTTTAACAGGCAAATGGTGGGTTTATTATGAGTGCAAGCCATAATCCTGGTGGGCCTGAATATGATTGGGGTATTAAGGTGATTTTATCTTTTCTAGTTCTCATCCATTAAATAGTCATGGATCAATTATGCTTTGATTAATGCTGATAGTTGGTGCTCCTGAAGTTACATTTTTATGAACTTTGGTGAGGTCATGGTTGATGCCGTGAAAACCCTATGATTCAGATTTCAGAGATCATTTTGTTTTTTTCTTCTTCTTTGTATTGTGTGCATGTGTGCTGATACTGCCTTAGGGGATTTTTGGTTATTTTGTATTCCATACACAATAAATTAAGCTTTATTGAAATGTAATTTTTTCTGTAACATGTTTGTGATCAATGTCTAAGACAGTAGGTGTTTCTAATAAATGTCTTTTCTGTTGACTCCAGTTTAATTACGGAAGTGGACAACCTGCACCAGAGTCCATTACTGACAAGATTTACGGAAACACCCTATCGGTAAGTGTCCCACTGTTTGACTAAGCTGTACTACTCTGATCCTACATCTGTTCTTTAAAATGTTTGACTTGTTCCTATGTTGTCTTTTTGGAGGATGAAAAATTAGCGTAATCTTGACCTTACCATATAGTATCATTATTAATTTAGTGTTGTATTCTAATATAATCTTTACCTCACTATACAATTAATCTCTTTTAAGCTGTTACATATCAATTCATGATGATTTGTTTTTTATGCCTTGTGGTTAGAGCTTGAACAAAAGGGTTAGACAATCTTGCCATACATTTTAAGTCCTAAAACTTTTTTCCTTCTTTACTATTGTTTCTCTCTCTCTCTCTGGTTCTTACTCCTTTTCCCCACTTTCTAAAAGTAGC